ACTTTGGTCCAAAGTCTCCAACCCCTCTGACCCAAAGGTTTCAGAACAGAATGTTACCTCCTTGGGACAATTCTCACACCCAGTGTTATCTCCCGTTCTGTTTAAGAGCTGCAGTGCTGTTTAAGAGCTGCAGTGCTGTCATGCAGCATTTGAAGTCTGTGCCCTCCCTCCCTCCCATCCCAAGGTTTTATTCAAGTAATTAAGAAAACAGTAAATACACACCAATGGCAATGGTAACCTGTGTATAAATCTTTGGCTGTAAAGCTCATGTTCTGCTTCTTAACTAAGGATGGTGAAGTCTGTTACATCACACTGACAAGGCTCACAGCACCCACCCTGCTATTGAGGAAGAATCCCCCACATTTTCTTCCACTTATTGACCAAAGCTGAAAGACACTTGAACAGATGAGTAACAGTCGTGATCCTCTGCATATGTCTCCCTGAGGCCAGTCATGTTCAATCTAACCTGGAAGTCCATAGTAAGGCCAAAGACCTTTCTCTAGACCTTCATCTCATCTTTCTGACATCATTTATACTGCCCCAGTCTGCAATACACAGAGAAAGGCTCCTGGTTTAGTTAGAACAAGTGCTAGCCAGGACATGACTCCGCTGCCTCTGAGCACTAGCTTTGTGCAACACACCTCAAAATTCTTCATTTGTACTTGCTAAACTGTTCAGGTTCCCACCACCTGAATATGAACATATCTGCTCAGATACATAATTTGACCATACAAGAGAAACTGCACTACCACTGCTAACAATTAAGGAAATCAGATACAGGAAAAAGCCACTACTCACTAAGAGAAGTATCTTGGTTCCAAGCTTTTCCTTCTATGCAATGTGAGCAAAGCCAAGCTGAACCTCCCAGAGATAAACCAAATGACCTTCCATGGTCCCTTCCGAGTAACATTACCTGATGACCTGCCTTTCAAGTGACCCAACACGGAAGATGCACGTCACATAAGGTTTTTAGAAGCATTTATAGGCAGAGGCTGTGGTTTTTAAATAAAAGTTTAATTCCTTCATCAGGTCTTAAGTTTAAACACAAATGCTCCTGCAAATCCTCCCAGCACTGCTCTGGTGCCCTGGCTCTTGGGGCTCAGGGCAGCAGCAGGGTGGCAGCAGGGGCTCCCATACAGGAGGCAGAATCAGGGACTCTCAGGAGAGCTCAGTGCAGGATGCAAAGCAAAGAAGCAAGGGATGCACAATTTCCAGACAAACACCAATTCTTAAACAAAAAGAAAAGCCCTATACTAATAGAAGTGTTAACGTTGCCACAGGACAGGAGCTCTATGAAGGGAGAGAAGTCTTCAGTAAAAGGCACAACTAAAGAAGTACTTCCCTAGATTTTAATCAAGGCTTTCATTAGTTCCACTCATGCCCCAGCCCCCAGCCTCTCAGAGCCATGCTGGTTACTCTAGCAAGTAATTTTGAGTTCCTTCTTTTCCCTTTTTCCAGCTCAAAAACAAATAGGAGTGTTTATTAAAAAAAAAACCAAACCAGAATAAACCAGCTTGGTCTATAAACCAGTAAGAGTTCAAAAGAGACTCAGCAGTTTACCTTACGATTGTCTGGTACTTTTTCTAAGTATTCAAGTTTCAGATGATACTCATTACATCTAAGAGCCTCAGCCAGCTCCAGTTTTGGTATTTTTCTCTCAGGCACTTCATGGCCTGTCAGGTTGGTGTTAGATCTGCTGTTTTCCCAGTACTGTGTATCACCAGCCTCTTCAACCCATTGCCATAAGCACTTCCAAGCAGCATCAGACCCACTCCAAGGGTTTCTTCAGGTTTTGTAGTCCTGCAACCCTTAATGCTCCTTGGCTTAGGATCTTTTGCAAGGAGCAATTTTCAAGGAAAGGCGGACAATGACCAGGACAAACAAACTGACTGTGTCAGTAACTTACAGGACAACAGGACTGCAAGCAGTGAGAGGCTAAGCCAGCTGGACACAAAGCTGTTGTGTGTTAGATCACCCCAGTGTCTGAGCAGGCACTTGCTAGATGCAACAACCGTGCTACTATGGGATAAAGAGGCTCAGCTTAGTAGCGTACTGGTGAAAAAAAAAAAGGATCAGGGGTTTGCACAGCAGGTCATGGTGCAGCTGCAGTACATGACAGCAGTCCTCTAGTTGCTAGCAAGGCTAACAGGAAGCTGTGTAATTGAGACACTGGTTTTAGCCTGCACTAGAAACCAAAGCACAACCATCATGAGTCCTCTAGGACAGAGGGAAAAGAACACTTGTCCGGGATGTACCTTCCCCACTAAGCTAACACAGCAAGGCAGCACTGCAGACTCTGCTCTCACCCTCACTCTGCTGTGCAGCACACTAAAGGGCATTTAATTTCATCAACAATTAAGAGGAATTCAAGTTTGCAAGCTACACTGATCTCCTGTCATGGCAGGAAGCTGTAGCAGAATCACCTCCTAGGTGTCTCAGGGCATCAACTAGGGTCAAGCCTGGCCTCCCCAAGGGCTCTGTCAGGTACAGAGTGGTCAGACAGCCAGCAGTCTCTTGGGCTCTTGCTGTAGATCCAGATCAAAAATGTCCTAGGGAGCTCTATTTTCCAAACAATTTAGTGTGTGCATGCCAGATCATCTAACCCTGCCCACAGATAAACCCTCTCCCTCCCCCCCTCAAAATAATTGTGGCAATTAGCCATGTGTCAGTCCTGCTCTCCACAGACCTGCAGAATTGAGTCAACACTACTGCTGAGCCCCATGCACAGGGTTGCTGGTGGAGTTGGGAGTGTTACAGAGATGAGCTTCCCCCCTCCAGCCTCCCAGTGTTGGGACCGGAGTCAGTAACCCTGACTTAAACAGAAGGAGCTGTGGAGAACTGCACTGGAACAAGCAGAGTCTTCTACTGAACTTTACAACAAGCTGAACAACTTTTGGTTTTAAAAAAAAAAGCCATACAAGCAGCAGCTGACATCTGTTGTTATAAAGGGACATGGCTGAATAGGTAGGAAACAGATTCCCCATTATGAGTCCTCCTGATGGCCTCCGCGAGGATCATTGAGATGTCAATCACCTGCAGGGGAACAAAGATGCATCAGTGTCACTGAGGGAAGACATCAAGCCTCCAAGAAGGGATGGAATTTAGGGAGAACCTAGAAAATAAACTCATCACTAACATTTATAATGTGCCAGTTGCAGACAAATGACTTCTACACAGGAATGGGATTTAATTACATATAAGCCTGAAGACATTTTACATAGAGCACCATAAATATTATTTCACTGTTGATCTTTGTGTTAGTCTTTGCTGAGACTCCCTAAGCTCACTCTGATTACACTAGGACTCTTACTCACTTTGTGTAGCTTGCAGAGAAGTTAGGGGAGTCTAAATCAAGCTGAGATCACTTCCCTTGAGCCAAGAGGTTTTACAACAGCTGCCAGAGATGAAGCTACTACACCATAGCTCAGCTCTTGAGTGCTGTTCTGGCTCCACCTCGTGGGGTCAGACAGGCACCAGGAGGGGAAGTCAAGCCTCAATCAAATCCAAGCTCTAAAGCATTTCAATCTATGTAGTCTCAGCAAGCAGAACTGTGTTCATGGTGCACTGAGGAAGTTAAATATGGTTTTCACCATATTTAACATTTTCTTTCTTCTGGATAGCTTGGCTCCAAAGGGAAGATAACAAGCTGCAGAGCAGACAGAGCCTGCGACTCATACAAGTCCTTTAGTTCTTTATTCCTCAACATCAAACATCAGATGTCAGTGTCTGGTGTGTTAGATGAGAGCCTGGAAAACCACTCTACTGCCATAGTGGGCTACAGCTATTACCAGTTATTGTACTAGACACTATTAGCAGTTTAACATTTTGCCTACACCAACTGTAATGTGGAGCTTGTAAAGAAGTTGAAACAACAGGCATGTTTTAGATGTTGCAGGAATGTCATCCAGAAATTAATGCTGAAAAAATGCAGCCCAAGAGCAGTTTGCAATCAGCTTATAACATATTTCCAAAATCAGCTTATAAGTGACTGCTGCTTCAAACCAGTTCAGCTTCCCTTGCACCAGAAGCCCAGCAGTGGGGAACCTGCTACACTTAC